GATGACAGAGCAAGACACTCATACTGTTTATTAATTTTTAATAATTTTATAGAATATTAATTATAATAGAATATTATAATTTATAATAATTTATAATAATTTATAATATTATAATATTCTATTATAATTAGACGGTGAATCTTCATGCAAATTCAGATTTTTATATGTTATTTCATAAAAATCAGAATTATATAATATTATATAGTAAAAATGCTGTTAATTTTTGTTAATCAATATGTTTTCTTGCATTTTAATTAACAGCGTTATTACTTCGCGATTTTCGTTACTAACTCGTGAACGAAGTCGTAACCAACATCATCGCTGAGAAAAATGTGATTTAAAATCAGCTCCGGAGTCACTCCTTTCTGGGTGTAACGAAAGTACTGAGATACCCTGTACACATTGTGCCAAATATTTTCCATGATTTACATGCCCATCGAATTTCATTTTATAGACCTTATAAGATTTGGGAAATTTGTTTGTGTTTGAACAGGATTTTTCTTTCAGATTCGTTGCTGGGGTCATAATCCGGGAGCGTGTACCAGCCTTTGAAAGGATGTTGTGGCGGATATCACGTGGAAACGTATTCTTGCGTCAAGTTGGACTGGATCAGGCGTTAGAAGACCCAGCCACCGTTAGTCTCCATTTTTCTATTATTTTTGAGATATAATATCTATTTTAGGAATGCTTCCGTTAATTCAGAAACAGCATGTAACGCTTATGAAACGATACAATCAATATTTATTCCAATAATACAATTCTATTTATTTTTATAATTTCAGTTTATTTAATAAGTGCATAGAAAATAGGACTTTATATATGTTGAAAAAGAAACATTAGCCTCAGACAAAAATTAATCTATAGTTTACTTAGGACTGAGATTCGAAAATATCAGTTTACATTTCCGCCGGTTCCGTCAGCGCGCACCGATGGTGATATAAACTGTATATTATACAGGGTGTTCCACAATTATTTTAACAGCCGAAAATGAGGGGTAGCTGAGGTCATTTGAAGTAACTTTTTCCTTTGCGAAAATGCAATCTGCAGCTTTGTTTACGAGTTATTAACGGAAAACACTGACCAATGAGAGGTGACGGCGCGAAGTTCGAGAGCCCGCAGCACGAGGCTTTGACAGATGGTCGGGACGGACTCGAGCCGCGTTCGAAGTATTGAACAAATCACGAAGCGAGAACTTTCCGTATTTTTTTTTGCTACGTAACAGTGATGTTTTTAAGAAAAACGCTGTTCACCTTTACTTTAGAACGTCTGAAGAATATTTACTAATTTTTCGGACCCGAAATAGTAAGTAATTTAACCGTGACGGCCGTTTTAATTTTCTAGTATGCATGACACCTTGTGTGTAACATATGAAATTTTTAAGCAAGGTGTACAGT